GGTTGTGTGTCTGAGTTAAAAAAGGCTGGAGAGAGTTACTGGGCATAATTTCTCCATCTTCAATGATTTACTATTGAAGTGCAAACATCATGTTTGGACTCTCTCCTGAGAAAGGTTTAACAAAGTCAGTGAACTACCAGTACCTTGATATCTTTCTAGATTTGCCAAATTTTGATAGCTCTCTAATAAACCCATGCTTGAAATTTATCTGTTTTTTTTTCTTAATTTCTATTCAGGAAACAGGTCCATTAGTAAATATGCAGATGTAAAAATGATCTTCCTCTTTACTTCTCCATTGAGATATATCTTGGAATTGTTGAGAAATGCACTCCATTGTTAAGGCTATTTGTGCCGGGTGTGCTAATGCACTCTTTGATTGAGTGAATTAGCAGTCATAACAATCTGGCAGTCTGGCCATAGAAGTGTGCTCAAATTGATTTGTGTTATGGCTGGACTGGAAAATCTAGTGTTAGTTGTTTTTTGCCCTGGGGCATTGTTTGTACCAAACTCTACTTTTCATTTAATTTTCCAATACATTTTGAAAGATTGAAATGCTTGTGATCAACATTTGATCCACTTGCATTATTTTAAAAAAAATTCTGAAAGTAATTTCAGATTCCAAAAAAACCTTGCTTTCAATTAGAGTAAACATAATTAGAGTGACGTCGTGCTCGGAATGGTAAATCTCCCTTTGAATCTATTAAGCATGTTATCTCCTTGTCCTGTCACTAAAAGGAATTCAGTATATACATGGAGTGTACATCTGTATTTCTCTGTATATGTTTCTAATAGAACTTGGGAAAATTAAAATAATAAAATTATAATGAATATTTTCTTGTTGTCTTTTTACATGTGCTCAAATTGATCCTTTCACTAAGTGTTGCCCTAAAAAGAGGATTCTCAAAGCTTTCAAGAAAATTTGAGAGAGCAAATGAATACATTCAGATATACATTGCCTTTAAGTTACTCAATCATTTTAGTTTTTATATTCTATAAAATATGTATTTTCCTTTTTTAACATAACTGTATCAATTGCTATATTGAAACTCTGAAGATTTAAAGACATGACTTATCCTAGCTTTGTCGATATTTGTGTCTTTCTTACAATCTTCTGCTTTGCAGTCGTTTACCAGAATTATAATGCAGCATGAATAAACCTAAAAAATGACTATTGATTACAGAGAAAGCTTTGTGAAATCATTTAGTCAGTTTCCCCACTTGAGAAATCAGTGAATAAAATAGGTCAATAGATAAGGATGGCATAATACAGTGCTATGCCTCCCTGGATTATAGAAAGGGTCAAAAAGAAATCCCCATAGAATTCATGTATTATACTCATAAAATAAAATGATACTTACCAAATCCCAACTACAAGTCCATCTTTCTACAGATCTATTCTTTTTTTTTTTTTTTAAACCACAGCTCTGTGAATATGTTTGTATGTGTCCCTGTTTTATTTCCTTGTCACTGCCCCTTTTAACCAAATAGGATGCCCTCATCATCTGGCTAAAGAGTCTGTTGTCATCCAGGTATTCACCGGGACTCTGGCTGCAAAAGCTACTTTGTATTTTCTCACTGTCGCCTGTAACCTTACAGATCTTTTCAAAACTGCATTTCATATTGCACTAAACTCTTATCTTCTGCCGATTTTTGTTAAGTAATAGATGATGAGACCTAAGTCCACTCTCTCTTTTAGTTCCCATTCGAACGGATCTCATCAGGGGAGGAAGGGATAAGGGGGGAAGGGAGGGGAGGGGCCAGAAGGGGGCAGGAGGAGGGAAGAAAATACCTTCCCTGAACTGGTACAAGCTAAGCTTCAAACGATATCCTAGGAAAGAAATTAAAGACTTCTTAATTAGTGCAGCAATTAAGCTTTCTTGGTAGCATTTTAATCAGCACAGGCCCTATCAAAGGACAAACAGAACGATTTGCAGGTCTTTGAATTTTAAACAGTCTTATTGATTTCTGCACAATACGTCTTCACAAAACACAGGGAGAATTTTCTAATATCAGTTACAGTACTTTGAGTTTTGCTTATGCAAATTGAGTGAAGGTTGGGGAAGATGAGATGGTAGGAGAGGACCTGAAACAACCAGAGATGTAAAACAATAAACAAACAAGACAAAAGCTCTGAAAGCTAAAGATGCAATGGAGTGAGAATGTGAAATCTCTCTCAAGTTGATTTATCTGCTGTTGTTAAACACTGTTTGCTTTAATCGCTGGCAACATTTCTCAAAAAAAAAAAAARKWARRRRAARRWWARRAAAAAAAAAAGAATCCTTCAATTTGTTTCAAGGCTTTTCTTTCCTAGGTATTTTAATTTGCATTATACGCCTTTTCTAATCCTATTGTTTGATCAAAGGAGTAAGTGGTGGTTCCTTCAAATAGTTTAGAGACCTGAGGTCAGGGGAAGCTCCATTCAGGTGGGGGCAAATGCCCCCAAGCCCTGTTCTGAGTGGAGCACGTGCTCAGAGGTGCAGGTTTCTGTGTAGAAGGAAATTTGGAGTTGGCTTTTAAGTAGGGTAGAATGATGACTTGGTCAGCTACCATGCTTCCTGTCTGGCTTCAGAATGTGGCAGGTATGGGATGAGTGATAGTTTAAGGAAATGTGAGAAATGTGAATGGTAAGGGCAGATTTGGGACATTTAACTTACATTTTTTCCCATTTGTGAGACTAAAATTTCAAGTGATGATATGTAGTGCAGCATCTTAAAAATCATATTGGAGTTTATTAGAAGTGAGGCATGCAATTCCACAATCAAATTTGCTTTTCAGAGCTTGGTACTTTCTTCCTCTTCCCCTGATTAACACAATAATTTGGCATTTTTCAAATGGTACTATTTTCTAAAACATACATAAACACTTAAAACAATGTTTTAATGTATGAAACATATATTGAATCCCTACTTTTAATCTAGGACAGATTTGGGGGATTGAAAAATCAATAAAATTATTTCTGAATATATTAAAATACATTGGCTAAACTAGGCCAAACAGCAGTGGCAACTTTAGTTATCATTACAGAAGTTTATCTGCTTTTCTACAAAAATTTTCTGAATTCTTGTAACTCAGAAAAACCTCTTAATCTAACTGCCATGCTCCAGAAAGTTTAGCATAAAGAGACTAATTAGCCAATAGTGTCATATTTCTCTGTAGATAGTTCCTGTACCTTTTGCCACCACACTTCAAAGAGTTTAAAGGATTGACATGATAAGGAGAAAAGTGATGATAATTTCAACACCAAAATGGCAAAAATTTCATCCTCAATACTAAGAACCTGCTGTTAATAGTTAATGTCTAMAATCCAGGGAATGCTTGTTTCATATCTTGTGAAGTCACTGAGCATGTGTAGACAGGTTCAATGCCTCACTATTTAAGATTCCTATAGATATGAAGCAACAAACTGACATGACTATGCTCAAATCATATGTTGGGCAAAGATCCTTGAATAAGTACCTCCATGCAACAAGTGAGAAAAGAGAAGAAAAGGACAGATAAAAGAAAGAAGAGAGTCACTCTAAACTCTGCCTAATGTTTTCAAGCACAGTTACCCTTTCTGCCTTTACAAGTTAACCAGCAAGCTTAGTTTTTGTTCTCATTATTTACATAACAAACATTTTCATTGACAAAATGAAAAGGACTTTCCCAAAATATAGTTGTGTCTTTCAAATATGAAAAAAAAACCCACAGAAATATCATGTTACTTAAATAACACACTAGCAACTAGTCTTGGGTCTTAAAGGATATGAGGATGGTTGGCTACTCTGAAAGACAGGTGAATTAATTATAGAGTTTTGGATGAGAAAATCAGTGTGTTTTTGTTTTCCAGTTTTTAAGTCTTTAAGAGTGTCCAAATCTCTTTGAATTCTCTGAGTATAATAGGTATTTCTGACCTGTCTTCAGGGTGAAAGTGAAGTTACTCTAAAGGATCCATCTCATGGCAAGTATTTATTTTTGCAGTCTATCAGGAGGGAAGGGATTATATAAAGCATTGTTATTCTTAAACGATTTTGGACTTTCTCCCCACAACTTGAAAGCTACCCTGAAATTTTCACTATCTTTATAAAAAATAAATAATTTAATAGAGAAATAAAACAACCAGACGCATAAAACATTACGCTCTGCTTACATGTGAATTTTCCTCAAAATAATTTCTTAATAATCATGAAGCAGGGATGTGTTTTCATTTAAATCTCTTTGCAACAACGCTTGGAGATATATCCTAAATCCTTGAAGGAGAACTCAGAGCGCTCTGGCTCCTGTGGAAGTTGTCAGGCGATGGCTTAGAAGCTTTGGGGAAAAAAAATTACGAGTCGTCGCGGAAGGAATTGAATATTAGACATGCAACCTAACGGTAGTAGTAGAAGAGAAGCAGATGATGGTCTATCTTTCCTTTTCCGATCGCCACTTCTGTGTCCCAGGCTTTTCCTCTCCGTCCCTCCCACAGTTTCTTTCCATATCCTCCCCCTCCCCTCCTCCTTTTCTTGTTCCCTCTCTCCCCCCACCCCTCTCTCCCCCTACGTCTCGCGCTCTCGGAGTCTCTGCTCCGAGTTCCTGGTTGGATAATTTGGGTTAATACTAGTGAGTGAGGTTTTTGCGGCTTCAAAGGGTATTTCAAGTTTCCGGAGCTCCTCCCCTCTGCACCGTGTGACAACAACAACTCGTCCAGCCGGCAGCCTGCACTTTTCAGCTCATTTTCTCTCTGTCATTCCCCTCTCAATCTTTGATCAATGTACTTGCCAGGGAGAACCCAAGTCCCTCAATCCTCCTCCTTTCCACCTTCATCCTTAACTTTGTGCTAGAGCGGGACCCACACAACAACAGCCGACCC